GATACCTAACTGAAATATGATACTTGTGTTGGTGATGTAATTTTTTTCAAATATCTTGAAAATACTGCATCGATAGTGGTGTCGTCTCTCGTTGTATATTCTGCTTGATTGTTTATCATATGTAAATTGAATGGGTCCATAAGGAAAGTTTTAAAAATTTCAGATTTCTTATCATTAAAATTGATGTAAAAGTCGCCAAAAATTTATAAATATAATAAATTTATAATAATTATAAATGCATAATATGCAGATCTTATTACTCTGTTTCAAATCCTCGCGTTACCTATAATACCCGTTTTCTATTAAATAGTCTATAACAAACGCGACGCACAAAAAAATGAAATCACGGCTAAGGTAAAGCACTATAATACTATAATATAGGGATATAGCAACAATCAGATTATTCTACAAAAACAATTTCATGAAATAAAAATATTTAAGAGTCATGCAAGGAGATTATAATATGTAGGTATATAAGATGTAACCAAAAGTTTATGTTTTGTAAGAACCGTGGTATAGATTTCAGTATCTGGTTGTGCATGGAATACGCGTGATATACGCGCCCAGCACTTGAGGATTTCCACTTTTTCACCGGCACACAAGGGGATTCCCACTTTACCGCCCGCTGGACGGAAAAAGGACGATTTCGAACGCTTCAACCGCTATCGAAAACCAAACTTTCGGTGCAGGTGTGACAAAAAATATATTACCCACGTACAATTCAATACTTATAATTTATACTTATTACTTATATATTTTATTAATTATAATAATTATAGTTAATGCATAATATACGTAGGTAGCAGTGTTGGGTAGTAACGTAACGAAAGTAACGCGTTACTGTAACGGCGTTACTTTGTTTGTAACGCGATACGTAATTTCATTAGAATTAGTAACGAAAATGTAATGGAAATTACTTTTGAAAAGTAACTTCTATAAAATAACGCGTTACAGTTTCGAATTATTAAATACCTACCTACCTATTGCGAAATGAAAAAAAATATATGTATGTTAATCTTAACTCGTCACAATTCATTTTTCAATAGTTTAGACATTTGAAATGTCAAATTGCACCTAAATCACAAGAACAGTTAATAAAATTTATTATCTAATTTGATTTCTTTAAATAGGTTTCATATGAATAGCTTGTGTTGTTTTATACGATCCAATTAACTATACACGATTCATAAAGAATTTGCTTGTTCGATTTGCCTACAGAAGATAATTGGCATGAAATTACAATTTTTTTTTTTTTGTAACGAGAAAGTAATGAGTTACTTTTCTATTTGAAATGTTAAGTAATTTCATTACAATTTTATTTGGGCAATGAATTAAGTAACTTAATTACATTTTTCTCTTAGTAACGAGTAAAGTAACTTAACTGTCTTAACTACTTTTTAAAAGTACCTAACTTACCTACCCAACACTGGTAGGTAGTGTAGTGATATATTATCAATAATTATTATATTATCAATATACGCAAGATAGGTAGTGTTTGAAGTATGAGAAATAAACAAAAACGTGAAACATTGAAATTTTTTTTAACACAAATAAAAACACAATTTATTTATTTTTTGAACACAATGTTCAGTGTTCTAAATTCTAATGTCAGAATTCAGTAAGTATACAATATACATGTATAATATTGTATACCTACTTGTATCATTTAAACATTAAAATATTTAAAAATTTTGAATACCAATTCAAATGTATAATACCAAAGGTTAGGTATACATACAGGTACCATATAGTGATGAAGGTAATTTATGACAATTATATGTAAATATAAAACTTACTTAAAAATAAAACAAAATATATTTAAATACTGAAATATTTCACATATTTTGAAATATTTCATTTTTTTAAATTTCATGAAATTTTCAAACACTAAAGATAGGTACATAATATTATAATCTACAACCGTCACTACAACTCACCACTCCCGCTTTTTAGATTCTGAGTGGAACGATGAATGTATTAATTTTACAATGATGTGTGTTTTTTTTTTATTTATTTTTGTGTCTGTGTACACGATAAGTAGTCGAAATAATGCTTCGATTTTCAACTTCAGTATCTTGTTCGATTGGAAAGTGAATCTAGTTGGTGCATTCTGGAGGTCAAATTTTAAAATTCCCAATAGTTTTCACAAGCACCGGGATTAAACACATAAAAATTAAGGAATAACAGGAATTTTTACGCAAAATCTGTTTTCCAAAAAATCGATTTGTTTTTGGTGTAACTCTAAAACAAATGAACGTATATATACATGCAATTTTCACTGGTTGTTTATATTTGCATTTTCTATACACGATAAAATTTATAAAATATTATGATTTGTTTTGAACTGTTTAGGGACATTTTCATTTTCCATTGTTTTTTACTTTTTATTATAAAAATATCAATAAAATTTTATTTGTTGGTTTCGAAAGGTTGAAAATTTAGTTCTCCTAAAATATTAGAAGAAGGCACCTATTGTTTCAAAGGCAGATGAAAAATATTAAAAATCCTTAGTCACAATTTTTTTTTTTTTTTTTTATTGAACAAACATAATATATTTACAATCTGTATTTACATGTGATACAATAAGTAAATGTGATGATTTTTGGTTAACAGGAGGGGGAAGTCACCCAGTGGCGGCATTAGCATTTAAAGTTCAAAAATTGACAAAATATGGAAAATTCACGAAAATTAGCAAATTATTTTGAGTTAAGAATGCGTAAAAATTTTACTTTTTAAATCTAAGATTTGAAAATTTAATACAAGATTACTTATAAGTTATAAGTAATCTTGTATTAAATTTTCAAATCTTAGATTTAAAAAGTAAAATTTTTACGCATTCTTAACTCAAAATAATTTGCTAATTTTCGTGAATTTTCCATATTTTGTCAATTTTTATTCCGTTTATTCCGGATGCGTACCATCTTAAAATGAAACAATTTGTTTTCGTTCACATATTCGTAGGCGGCTGTTTGGTAGGTAATTTAGTTTTTCAACAATATGTGTTTATTTCCTTAAATATGCCCATTAACAGCATTTATAACTCCAAATTAGCAAAATACCTTCTATAATATGTATTTATGTAAAAAATATACCCAAAAATAGCACTAAAAACCTAAAATTAGCAAAATAGCAGTAAAATCCGTAAATATGCAAAAAATAGCAAAATAAAATTTCGTGTATGACATCAGAGAAGTGTGAAACATATTTGTATCTTACTTTGGATGTTCTAGGACGAACCAATAAAAATATGCATTTGCTAGAACTTCCGAGCCCTGCTTATAACTCATAAGTTTGTCTACCTTTATCAATAAAAAAATCTCTACCGGAAAGTCAAATTAAATTTTTATGAGCGTTTGAAATTCAAATTTTTACAACATTGGATATTCACTCGATTTCCTTATTTTGTTGTAATTCAAAAACGAATAACTGTAGATACATCAAAATTTCACTGAATGTTCATATTAGCATTTCCTATACGCTGTACAATTTTGACTCTTTTTGAGCTGTTAACGAACATTTTCAGTTTTCAATTTTTTTAGTTTTTTTTTCTATAAATATCAATAAAGTATTTTCTGTTGGGCCAAAAAGTGTAAAACTTTAATACAAGGCTCCTGATATATTGTTACAATATCAGTTGAAAAATATTAAAAATACATAGCACATTTTTTTTTTTTTATAAGCATTTAAAGATCGAATTTTGACAAAATTTATCAAAATCTCGAAAATTATCAATTATTGTAATCAATAAATTATAAAATGTTCAGTTTTTATAGCTAAGGATTGCAAATTTAAAACAAAGGTTCTCATAAATAGTTCATACTGAAACCAAAAAATCTAAAAAATATATAAACACAGTTATTTTTTACAAACATTTTAAATTCAAATTTCGACGAAATTACATAATAAAAAACCTAAAATAACTATTTTAGTTATTTTGTTGTGATTGTATAATATTATTCGTGGGTACTCGAAACTTCTTAAGTATACTACTATATATTTATGATAGTATCACGGTTTTTTGTTGATGTACAACACGTTATAAGTACCTAATGGATATTGTGATATGATTAATTTGGAATTTATTATATGTCAATTTTTTTTTTAATAGCATAGATATATATATATATATATAATATGTCTTATACCTAGACTGACATACGGTCTCAGCTCAGAATCGTTTTTCTTATACAATGATATAATATCATTGAATTCATATGTAATACCATTCATTTTACAGTGACGATCAAAAATATATGGGGGGGAATGTCCGGGGGGACAATGCTCGCGGTTCTTATTTACTAGTACCCAGTAAACAAATTTTATTGATAGGAAAAAATACAAGTATACATTATACAATCAATAAACAGTATGTATTATATTACTTTAAAAATAGGTAGGTTAGATCTAGTTATTTTAACTGTATTTGTCATTATTATTATTTGTCCAAATAATATTTATTAGCATCACACAATGTACCTAATTATGTACAAATTAAAATTACCAAGTTAATACATTTAAAATTTAAAATATTTAATTGATAGTATATTACTAATAGACTTAACTACAAATACTATTTTATACATTCTTCATCTTATTATACTATAGTAAAGTACAATTAAAAATCAATCAAGTATAAGATAATATTATTAAACATTTAACTTTTAACATATTGTATACACTATACATAATAACATTTTAACAAATACCATTTAAATATTTCTTTTCAAATGTTACTTGAAGATTCTTCAATTAATAATATTTATTTACAAATTATTTAATGACTAATAAGCAATGTACAATTTGTATGATAAAAATCTTTTTATTTAACAAAATGGTTAGTAACTGTAGTAAAAATATGTCATATTATATTTATATTTAAAAAAATTATCAATAAGCCAAATGGCAGTTCACAATTGTTCAAGATAAAAATCAAATTCCTAATTACAATTATTTTTTAAAAAATACATAATATTATGCCTTCATTACAGGTAAGAAAATTACTATTCAGTTAACATTTCCCAAGTTTTATCTGAAACTAACTTAATTTTATTCCATAAGCATACTGAAATTTCATTGTCTGTTTTTTCATCCGTATTAAACTCAAAGTAAGCTAATTTTTTTGTGATTCTGTTAAACGTATCTGTTGACATTAGTTAAAAAATTATTGCATGATAATCTATATTTATTGTTAAACTAGATAGTAGATACCATATTCAACATAAATTACACCATAATTTAAAAAAAAAAAATTATTCATCCCTTCGTAATATAACTAGCATTCTCAAAAAAAAGTAGCACGATGAAAGATTCATCTCCAGAATATACAAATTATATCTGTTTTAAATTTTAGAAACTACATGTTGGGTATACACTTGTATAGTAATTTTATAAAAACGAACTACATAAAATTATTTTATAATACATACTATGCTTTGTTTCATATAAGAGTAATCAAGGATGACAACTAGCTTTTGTCCCACCCTCAATAAATCAGTTTTCATCAACTTTTGTTTTCAACAATTGGCGCAGTCAATTGAAAAAAAAATAACTTTACAGTGCTAAGCATGTCATGTGTTTACGAAATAATAAAGTGATTCTTGTCACTCAATTTTTGCAAGTTTGTTGGAACTATTCATATTGTGTTTTACAATAAAGCGATAAAAAAACAAAATATTATATTTATGTAGGTAGGAAATATGCCTTTATTTCTGAAATACGAATAAAGACATTTCCGAAATATTTAAAGCAAGTGTCATTTTATTCCAAATTTTATGAAACATACTAAACTGTAGTCAACTTTATGATATTTAAACTACATACAAATCTGTCTCTACTTGTCAGTTACCAGTTAGTACCATAAATCAATATACAATAAAAGGATACTTACATCCTTTTTGTGTAGTTGCTTTTGCACCATTGGAATAATCAAAATATATCTTCAACATATTTTTATAAGTAATGAATGTTTTCCTAAAACAAAATAAAATTAATAAAAGTTCACTAAGTTTTATATAATAATGTAAGCCATCTCTACAAACATATTGTATGCCCTTTAATCACATGAAAGGATGAATGTTATGACTAGGGAATGGATTTGAATGCAAATTAGAATTTTTTCTGAATGTCCAAAAACATTGCTTTTCAATCATAAAGTTTATGTCATACATAAAAATATTAAAAAATATAATTTTAATTTATAATTTTAATTTATTTCGCATTTTTTGACATTTTTATATGAGAATACCTAGATAAATTTTATAAAAAGTTAGTTAAAATTCATTCTAAAAGAATAAAATAAAATAATATTTATTTTGCCTTGTCATACTTCTATTTTTTATTAATTGTTTTGTTTTTACACATCAGATAAATATGATGCCGTCGCCACCTATAATACGGACTTATAAAGTTTGAATAATTAAATTTTTTGGAAATAATTTTCAGGCTCAAAAAAAGATAGAAGACGAATAATAAGATAATATGAATAATTAATAATAATAAGAATTTATATAATAACAAAACAAATTTAAAAAAAAAAAGTTTGTTATAAGTGCATTAAAATTGTTTATTTTTAAGGCAGTTTTCTTGGTTTTTAGAGCATTTAAATTTGTTCCCTAGTTATGACTATTACTTTTTACCATAGTTCAAATAATCCATAATAATGAGTATATTGAATGTAATAACTAATAAGGTAATGCAAGAAACAATGTTCATGATTCTGATTTTATTATAGACAAACTATTAGCATTCACATGGTTTTGTAGAAATTATAAATCATATCACTATAAAATGTATGGGAAATTAATGCTATATCATATAATTATTTAATAAAAATAAAAATAAACTTACTTAGTATGAGAGAAAACATCTAGATCAGCAGTACTTAACTTCATTTTGTTATATTTTTTTAAGTCAAACTCTGTGGATTGCAGTATATTTTTCAGACCCTCTACTTTATTCTTTAAGTCATGCTAAAACAAAATATTAGTAATGTTGATGTAATTTTATATATTTATTTTCAAAGAAACAATATTGTACTATTTAACCTTGTAAAAACAGGACCTGGTACACTCTATAAATCAGTTACTTAAAATATTACTCAGTACCCTTATACACGTTTTTGAATTCTGTTTGCGGGACATGAGACTAAACTATTGGATCATAAATATTAAATTCCAATAACTAATATTTTTTTTAACTCTTGTAGTTTGCACATGCAAAACAAACTTCACTTTTCTTGTTTTTGTGGACACACCGTACATAAACAATGATGTGTGCATGACATTTTATAACACAAAAAACATTGTAAAATCAAAAATTAGGTTCATAATACTTCAAAATATAGATATTTAAAATAAACTAATTCATAACATACTGAGAGCTCACTTCACCTACATTTTGTATTGTAATCTCATGAAAACATAACATAAAAGCAGTCCAAGCTGCATAGGCAAGTATAATTTAAGTAAATCAAAATTATAAACAAGAACATTTGCTAAGCATAGAATATTTCATTTTAATTTGAAATAAGACAATGTGAACAAATATGGATGAAAACCTTCTTCTGAACACTCACACAGTCATGTCTGATACTTTTCAAATTCACAATGTTTCAAAACATGGAATATTAACAATAAAAGCAATAGATAGTTATAAATATAATAAAATCATATGAATTTTATTTTTACTTTCATCTGCATTTGAAGAGCCAACTCCGACATGAGTTTAACACGTTCCCTTTCAATAATGTTCAACTGTTCATCGTAGTGATTTATTTCCTTGTTGGTCTCTTCTAGCCTGGTCTTTGCATCTAAACATGGAACACGTATAATACACACAACACACATAATAAATATTATTGAAGATCTACAAGAGGATGAAATCAATTTCGTTTACCTTCATACTCTAAATGCGATTGCTCAGATAGTTTCAAGAGTTTGGCGAATTCGTCCGATGCATCCGTTGACGACTCGACATCTAGGTTCACACTACGTATGATTTGTGAAAACATATTAAAATAATTATTAGAAAACAATAAAATAAACCTGGTCCGAAACCCGGTTCAAATATTTTTTTAAATATTATTCGTATACTCATTCGTAATTCCTATTTACTAATTTACTATTCCGTAATCCGTATAGGTACCTTTGTAAAAAACGGTTAACTGTCGAAGAAATCACCAGTGTTGCCAACTTTGCAATACACGGATTGTTTATAGTTCTGTGATAGTATTGTTCTATGGTGATAGTGTTTTATCGCAATTATTTCGTAGATAATACAATATGATAGCATAGAAAATGATAGATAATATAAGTATTATGTTTTTGAAGATTTGCTGGTCCCAGTTGAACATTCTAAAATTGTGATTTGTGAAATGTGAATTTATACCTCGGAGTCTCGTGTATACCAGCTGGAACGGCGTTGAGAATAAGTCATAATGTTTTTGACAAATGTGTTACTGAAAAAAGTAAAATCCAAGCACACTATGGTGCTAATGGAAAGCATGGTAAGCGGTCACAAGTACAACGTATTCAGAGAACGTTTAGCGGACAAACTAGAACTTGTGCATTTCGACCCTTGGATAGGCCAAATGTCCGTGTACAAGGAAAGGAAAAAGATAAGAAGTGCAAACGTTAAGAGGTTCACAGAGCCTACGTAACAGTCAAGCGATTTCTTGTATTAATAATTTTATAAAATGTAGAATATTTGTAAGCATTTATATTTTTCAAACTGTAAAATATATAACTTTAATGTTACTAAAAGCCTTTTGTTTTGAGTTCCATGGATAAAAAAGCCTTCATGTTGGGATCCTGTATTTTGTCCAACACCATTTGTGAAACTTGTTTACTATCACTGTTTGCTAGTATACTTCTGACCTTGTCCGCATACTCGATCCACACGCAATTGGCACACCCTGACATACAACATGTCGTTGGTTCTTCAGGTAGTTCTGGTGGTTGTTTTGAGCAGAATCTTCTAAGGCATATTGCGCGGCTGCTATTCACTAACCACCGTTGAGATATAAGGAACATCTTTTAATTCTGGAAGCAAAAAACATATATTTATACAATTAAAGATATACCTACATTACTAAACATCTAAACAACAGTTATTAGTGTAACATACAATTATTGTTCGAGGTCTTGTTTATATTACACATATGATATTGTCTATTAAAAGCGTTACAAAAAATATATTCATTAACCTCAGGGTATCTTATCAAATATTGGCCTCAACCACCAAAAAGAATGCGCTATGTAGCAGTTTTATTTTATACAGGGTGATTCACCCATCGACTTAATATATAATATATATTATAAGTCTGTTTTCACCAAGCATGCTCACATAGCCATTAATTCTTTAATAATACAGTTATATAAATTTTGATTTTTTAGTACCTACAAATACTTCAAGACGATACTTTTAAATATTTGAATTTTTATACTCCACCTATTGAGTGTTGATACAAACATTCTTTTTTTTTACCGTAAACATTTATTATACAGATTTTTTTCAAATATTAAGATGTACATAAATCAAAGCTCAAACGACCTGCTTCAGAATTATTAAACCATGTACTGAGGTCTAGGCTCTAAGGATAATAATCCTTAATCTTTGGTTTTACATCAATTATAAAGAAGATATAATATATTTTAGTCTATAATACTAATTACAAATTATAAAATTCTAATACATTATTATTTATTATTACAATACCCTAAACATTGTTGGGCAGTAACGTAATAAAATTATTTTTTTTATTAGATAAAAATAGAGTATTTACAATTTTTAATATTTATATTTTATATATAACAATAAGTAAATTTGATAGAAAAAAATACTTGATGGTACAAAACATGAATGGCTTGAGGAGGGAGGCCCACCAGTGTGGATACCCTCTAACTTGGGGTATAATAAAAATTACAAAGTATTACTGTTACAAAATTACTTTTACAGTAACTTGGTAGTAATTTCATTATATTTTATTTAAATTAACGCAATTGTAACAAAATTACTTTTTAAAAGTAATTTCTATGGAGTAACGTGTGTTATCTTCTATGTTATTAAAATAAGTTATGAATGTAGAATGTATGATAAAAACTAGGGGCTAGGATATTTGAGAAAATTAAAAATCAATAAAATTTATTTAGGATTCCGAATGTTTTTTATAATAAATAATAATCAACAATATTGTTAAAGATCCTAGGAATTAATACTTATATATATTTTTGTTCATGTATAACATTAAGTTATTAACAATGTACCTACTACTTATTATCCGTTATGCACTGATTTTGTAATTATTTTTAAAAAACAGTAACATTATTTGTAACGGCCTACTTTTTGAATGAAGAAGTAAAGTAATGTGATAAAAATACTGTCGGGTAACGCGAATGTAATTTAAACAAAAACATTTAATGTAACGAGTAACCTAATTTTATTGCTTTTCAAAAGTAACTTATACAACACTCATGCAACAAAATATTGTTTATAATTGTTTGTGTACGCATGTATTTATATCGATATTATATTGTAAATTACGAGGGAAATTAAAATATAATGTTTTAAATATTATGCCATAGGTATATACTCTATTTAGAATAAGACGACACTAGGCGGCTACGGTCAAAACCAGTTTTGCCACTTAAATCTGGTGTGCTCTTATTCTGAATAGACTAGTATTTCAAAGAACACAAAATATTGTCTTCATTATATGTAAATATTACTTATTTATTCATTGTACTGAGCAAATATATTTGATAAATAATAGTAAACATGTTGTCATAATATACACAATATATATAAGCAAAAAAAAAACCATTTTATTTTGATATTATATTATTATACATCCAAACTAATAAATAATAACTATGAAAAAAAACAAATGGCAAACTATTTGCAAAGTACCTACTAAAATATTAAAAAATAAAACAATATATCAGATATCAGGATAACATTTTTTATTAAAAAATACAACCTTAAGACTCATTTAAGAAGTAGCCTTGGCCATGGTAACAGTCAGTCAATATTCCAAGTTCATATCATACTTCTCAATTGTTATTTATGCTCTATATACATCATTACAATTATTTAAGATTGTTAAACCGTAATTTATTTTACATTTTCATGTTATCGTATTATCTACAATCAGACTAGTGACTTTTCTATAAAATGTTTACTTGTTCAAATGTCAATCAAATAAAAATTATTTTTATGGTAAAATTGATGCTCAAAAAATTGATTTAAAATAATACAAGTTCTAACAATGTAAAAATAGAAATAATAATATTATCACATAAAAAATTCATATAACATAATACATGTAATATTATTATATTCATTAGTTGACAAAACAACAAAAATCAAACAAAAAAAGTAACAAAGTACCTATTTGCTAATTATATTATGGTTAATTCTGTTCTGTTGTATTTTTGTATTCTAATATAATCATCTAAATTGATATTTGGGTACAAGGAAAAAGATACTGTATACAATATTTGGTAAACAATGTTTAATAAAATATTCTACAAAATAATAATTGCTATTTACATTTACATTATAACAGCATAATATAGTATATATTTTATTAAGGCAAGTCACATGTTCTATTAAAATTCATCGAGATATTATTCTTTTTACATAAAATTAATTATATCAGTGTACAAAAAATATAGTATAATATGAATATAATATAATATGTAACAATAAATACTGTTTCATCATAGATTAAATTAAAAATATCAATGCAAACACATTTATCATTGTTAAAATACATCTATCTGTTTTGACATGGTATATTATATACTTCATAAACAGTTACAATTTATTATATTATGCATTGTTTTATTTAAATAAGGTTATAGGTATACAGATAGATGTCAAGACTAATAACATTCTAACAAAATGTTTATTGTAAAATATGTTATGTACAAAGACAACACAATTTAGTAGGTCATATCCATTCATTAAATTAAATACATGGGTAAAAAATAAATTAGTTACCTATTAAAAAGGAAAAAAATGCTTAAAAAAAATCACAGTAAGCTTTAGACAACGCTGAAAGCTTTGAGGTAATTTCATGTACTCCTGTACTATTTTCATTGTAATATTGTATGTTGGTATTTTTCAAATCACCTAAATTCATAGATCTGAGTACTGTGTTCTGGGACATGGGTCAAGCATAGTGTTTGATACCTACGATTTAAATATTTATTAATTACAATAAAAATAAAATAATAAGCAAAACAATGTCTCACCATTCAGAACTCCGGTGATAGTAATACCCTTCAATGGAAGAAGTTGATTTCTGAAAACAAATGTAATAGAAACCAGCAAATGACGCACCACTGATGTCGCGTATTGTGTGATCGGGTACTAGAAAATGCTCCTTCCACCGCATGAATACATGATCAGCATTTTTTAGTTTGTCATAGTCAAATACATCCGAATTGAATGTCTTGGCGTACTGACAAAATGCAGCAAATTTGTTCTGTAAAATAAAAGAATTATAATTATGTAAATATAACAATATAATAGGCGACAATGATTGGTACAAACGCTACAAACCCAATGTTTCTTGTCGACTTCTTCGTCAGCGTCCCACTTTCTCGTCAAAAAAGGACACTTTTTGTTAATGATTTCTCCGTCGAAATAAGTAGTCAAATTTGGAAACTCTTCAGTGAGACCTTTAATTTTTAGATAACCGCACAGATAACCGTTTTGCTCGTCGACATACTAGAAAATGGAACGCCGTGCGTATTGCGTTAACATCGATGGCATTAATTGTACAAAAGGGAGTGCTATTTTACACTTAGCAGGGTACATCAAACGTCCGAGGTCGTGAACTAAGTTATAAGTGTCTACATACCTGCAGTACGACTTCCACCTCGTAGCTGTTGCCTTTGGACCTCTGGAACCCTTGAAATTTCGATCCGCTGTACAGTATAGACCCGGTGACCCCTAGTTGTTTCGAGTTGGCCGGAGGTCTGGGCGTTATGTCCACTTTGACGGGCATACCTATCGCCGAGGGGGATCCTGCACACACGAGTCGGACAGTTAGACGTTGTTATGGTTTGGCTGACAGTCGGGGCGTTGGTGGTGTTCGGTCGCCGTTTGTTTTTAATTTTTATCGTTGTCGCTATCGTTGTTTTTATCGTTATTATTGTTATTATCGTTTTACGCGCGGTATCGTGTGGGCAAAATATTCGAAAACCCTTGTGCCGCGGCGTCGGCGGCGGTGATCTGGGGGCGATCGCGCGCGCGCGCGTCGAGACGGCCGCACGGAGGTGGGGCCCGGTGGCGGGAGAGCGCGGAAATTAAAAGTCGTGTGGGAAAACGACAAGGACGTCTGGCCCGATAACAGAGCATCGTAATCGCTAAACGGTAGCGAGTTTTGACTGGCGATCGTTCGGGGGGTATTGTAATATATCGAATGTTATGAGTTATGACAATAATAACTATTAATAATAAGGTCATTCGAACAATCCGTACGACGACGATAATAATAATAATAATAATAATAAAAATTAGATATTAATGTCGTACGTACCTGATGTCGGTGATTGTTACGGACGATTGACGATCACGACACCACCGCGGGCACGAGACTGTCGGACAACTCATAAAAGTGAAGTGACATAAATAATAAATACCTATATTATATTATTGTTATATAATATTGTTCAACAGCGTCCCCGCCGCGCAAACCGGGTAGGTACAAAGCTGAAAGCGCTCACACGCGGTAACAAAGTACAAACTTTGTGAATTGTTTTTAATTTTTATTTTCCTTGAGCGTAAACTACTACTGCCGGCGGCGAGTTAACTACGGTCCACAACTTCCAAACGTTATTACGCCGTCGCCGGTGTATTAGTGGTATTATTATTTTAAACCCGCGACGAACATTAATTTTTGAGAAAATTATTTCTCTAATGTTTGTGATTACTGATTAGACCTAGAAAGCTTTGATATATAATATCAAAGCTCTTTAATTATACATTTATACCTCTGTTTTAGACCTATCTTATTCGACCAGCCCTGAATATACTACCTAGTCCCTACTAACATTAAGAGTCCGATTTTAATTCACAGGGCCGGTGTATAAGCATATAAGCCTGGCTTGATATTTATAGCATGTCGCATGTGGTGCAAGTTCGATATTTATGCACCCCCCCCCCCTACATTTTTTTCCAAAATCTTAATTCCCTACAAAATAAATGTTGTATAAAAATAAAGGTGGGCTTGTGGGTTTCTACTGTTCTGTTTTACAGCTGTAGGTGTCATTGTGTCAAATACTCGATGAGCTTTTTGGCCCCAAGAACCGCAATTGTTATCGATGTTTACACCCAAAGGAAAAAAAAAGAGTTCAAAGAGAGAAAAAATATTTTTTAGGTTAAGCCATGTATAGAACATATTCTAATATAAACATTTGGTGGAAATTTCAAAAAGCTGTGCCAACAAAAATGTCATGCACGAAGGGGTTAAACATTTTGAAAATACTAATTTCTCTTCCAACTTACAGGTTGAGGACTGACAATGATGTTAGTCATTGTCGTGGTTAAAAATGAGTTTCTATAAACATTTATATATAATAACTGTGTTAATGTACTACGCATCTCTTTCAGATAGGGCAGTTATATAATATGCGTATCATTAAAAATTATAAAAAAAATAATAATTAGCATACCAATGATTACATTTTAAAGAGGAAAGTGAAGTTAGTTTATTTTTGAAGTAAAATTTCTATCTTGAGGCGTGGGTGGAAAAAAATCGTAACGAAAATTGAAACGACACGTTTGTTTATTTACTTATAAATGTCCATAGCAACCATTAATAAACAAAAATGTTTATGGTAAATTACATATTTTTTATTGGATTGACTTTTCTCACTCCCTCCCTAATTCACCTATAATTTCACAGGCGCAATTACTTATAAAAGAAGTTTTACTTCCCTTTTTGTATATTTTTTTTTAAAACCATTTTTGAACAAGAGTGAAATTTTACCATCAATTAGTGCAACAGAATTTTTACCAAAACATGTTTTTTTTTACGCATTTATTAATCTCGGTAAAATTCAAGGCACACTCAATGCCAGCCCTTACCGCTATGCCACGAATTAGGTAAAATGCAATCGACTTCCGATGAAGAGGTACACATGTGTATTTTATCATTTTATTCATTTTACACACATACGATATACCTACCTTGTTTGCTTTAGTTTGAATTAGTATTATGACAGTGCATGCGCGTAACGTCCATAACCGACTTAACCATAGGTAAAATTGTTGTGATTTTGTTTTTAAACCTATTTTTTTAGATTTTAAAAGGAATTTTTGCTTTCTAAACATGCTTTCAATATATTATTCATGTTGGTGCGTAAAATCAAAAGCTATTAAAAGCTTTTTCGAAAGTGTTCTTAATAGGCTGAAAAATATTCATAAAACAAAAAATATTATATTGACTTCCGATGGGGTTTTCTTAGCCAATTGAAGTAAATGTGAAACAAATAGTACATGTACCAATTTTTTATATTATTTTTAAATACCTACATTTCTCCGCATATAGCTGAACTTTTAGTAAAAATGTACAACAGATTTGATTATTTTTGTTAACACACAATTTATTATATAGTTTTATGGTCAACACTAGTCACTACAGTGGCGTATCTAGGATTTTTTCAAGGGGGGGATATACAATTTTTAATAGACATTCAATATATTATACTTATCATATTTATATTATTACTAGCTGATCCCGTGCACTTCGTTTCCCGTTAAATGTACCAACTCTATATGACTCAAACATTGTTCAATGCGTTATTTAATATTCGGTGTATGATGTTCTAGATTTATCTTAACTTTTCTGTTGCCCGGAATAAAAATTCTGTTTCGCAGCAGTATATTATCAGGTAGGCAATCTACCTGTGGTAGATCGCGGACCCCATGCTGTTTGTACGTAAGTATATGATTCAACTCAAAAAGTACCAAAGTTATACCAAGGTTGAAGTTTTTACTTAATTCCACATACCTATAAATCCTAACCTGACCTAACCGTACTAAAATCAGATGAATAAAAAAAAACCAAATTTAACCCTTTTTAAATTAGCGTATCTTCTTCCCATAGGTCTAATCTACACACCATCATTCATTTATATATATATATATTGACAAAAAATAATAATACAAATCAACAAACATGCCTGATTAACCAATAGCAACCAATATAATATAATACACCATAGAGTAAATAAAGACAACGGTATCGATTTCAAATCCCAGACATCAATAAATAGTTATTGCAGTTTTTCTAATTATTCAGTTGACTTTTTAAAAATTTTCCTTCGTAAAAACCTTCACCTATTAATTACGAACATCTTAAAAAAAAATTGAGACAAATCGGACCAGCTGTTCTCTAATATTTTTTTTTTGATTTTTATCGATATTAATCGATTTCCAGCCCTGCTATTATCGATATTTGTATTATTATTTATATTATATTTTTATTTTTATTTTTATCTGCTAGAGGGCGCCACCGGTGTAACTCAGTTTTTGTCTCCAAATCTCTAATTCACATGAGTTAGGTCCATAATTTATGCTATAAACCCGCTCACCAACATTCTCTATCATTTAAAAAAAATTGAGCAAAATCGCCCACGTTCTCAACTGATCGATTTCAGATTTGTTGTCTCCATTTTTATATATAAAGATATACATTATACATGTTGTGTTGTTACAAAATTTGTTCTCGCTAGGGGATTGACTGGCGCACTAGGGGGTCTGGGTCTTACACCCCTAGTCAAAATACCCCCCTAAAATTTTATTTGTTAGTCATGCCAAAAAAACCTGAGCTTAAGGTCAATGTGTGCGCCAATGGATAACCCCCTTATTTAATGTATCGCACTTAGCAATCATTTCGAGCCATAGGGGTTTCCCATCTTCCCGTTTGGCCATGACGTATGCGTGGATATTATTTCTTCATAAGATGTTAGATTACTAATAATTTATTAGAATAATCAATTTATCATTTAACAAAATTATTTTTTTTGCTTTAACGTAATATACATAACAAGGACATTTTTTATTAAATACTAATTTGTCATCTAGTCGCCTAGACTGGAAATAGATCGTCTATACTAAATGTCTCAAATACAGGTTTGAGAATACCCATGACTAATGTAACAACAGTGTCTTCAAGCAACGGCCTTATCTCCTTCATTAGATCCTTCCAATTATTGTTTATAAACCGGTTTGTTTGATCACCTATAAAATACAAATTTAACGAAAAAATTAACCATAATACTAATTTTCTAAGTAGATTATAGCTCAAAATTCTTACCTAATTGTTTGTTACCGTTGAACAAATTACTGAAATGTAATTTTACTGCACCTAGTTCCAAAGTTATTTTTTTTGGTTTAATCTCAATAAAGTTTTTGTTATTTTTTTTTTTAACAATTTTTAGATCAAATTTAATCTTTGCTTCAGCATTAGCTAAAATCATAAAAATAATTATACATTTAAAATTAATAATGACAAGTGAATAATTTTATAGTTGAACAGCAGTCTACCTTTAATTTTTAAATAAAAATATATTAATTATTTTTAAATATAAATGTACCTAGTTAAGTGCATATAATACCTACCTATATAAGATATATAAAAAAATTACTTTGTATAGAATGCAAATATTATGTATTACGTACAGTAAGTTGTACGTATATTATAAATGAAGGAAAAAAGACCAAATGTAATTTGTAGATATTTTTACAATTAGATTTGAATAATATTAAAAATCCTTAGTCACAGTTTTTTTTTATAGGCATTTAAAGTTCAAATCTTGACAAAATGTATCAAATTTAAAATTGTATAGTTATTTTGTAGTTAAAAACTTATAAAATGTTCTACTTTTATAGCTAAAAATGAAAATTTAAAACAAGTTTTCACGTAAATAGGTTATTTATAAATTACTTTATTTACAATAATATCATCAAATATACTTAGTAATATCATAAGCTAGATATTATTATATCATTTAATTCAAATTTAACACCATCCATTGCAGTGACCAACTTGTAACCTAATGTACAGCAGAGTGACACCCACTTGCCCACCTTTTTAATTTTGCATATAGTTGATCATAAAATTAAAGTTCAGGAAAAAAAAATCAATTAGTTTATTTTAAAATGTCAGTTTTTGTTGTCAATTATATAATCGAACCGAAAAGGCAATGACAGTCGACAGATACACAAAAACCTAAATTTTCCTAAAATTCCTAAACTTTAATTTTATGTCCAACTATGTTCAAAATTCAAAATAATAATTTAATACTTTAATTTATATGTATTTATTAATTTTTATATGACTTTTTTTCCTTGGATTTTTTTTCATTTCTTTTTTTTCTGACTACCTTATATTATACATGAATTCATCTGCAAATTTTGTTGCTGACACATCAGGCTATTTACATTCTGACAGTATATCTGTATAGATAATTTGTAGGAATTATTTTATTCGTTTTATCAATTAATGAGAGACGATTTAAATCGAGCAATTGCCATTGAGCAAGTTTGTAAAAATTGCAATGCGTTTTGCGAATGATTTTCAAATATTTTAATGGGTTTAGACAATATTTTTTCAATGCATTTTCTTCTCACATATATTTAATGATTTGGAACTGTCCGTGAATTCCTCGGACCGTTGAGTTTTTAGGTTAGATAATTAGATTCGTAAAACTGTTGCCAATAATAAAATTCATATTTATTCCCAATCACGTGACGTATAGAATCGCGGAAAAAAGTCAAGGAAAAAAGTTCCGATAAAAAAGGTCCCACTAGGTCTAACTAGGAGAAAGTATATTAATTAAAAAAGTCTACAATAATAAATACATATAGTACCTATATAATTATTATAATAATGCAATTAAAAATATAATCTTTTAATCGCATCTTTATATTATTATTATTATCTTTATTGGCGGAAAAAACTCCATTTACAAGACAATATATATAATTGTGTAGTGACACAGATACAATAGAATTGGGTACGAATAATATAAAATTCACATTCAATTTTATAACAAAGAATTTATTATGAGGTGTATAATTTTACAGCCATAATTAATTATTAACTAAAATTAATATCCATTGACCATTGTGTTTAATATGGACATTAGACATCAGTATATTCACAGATGATGATCTTAACTCTTAAGTATGTTTTAGAAACATGATTGATTAAAAAACTTTCTTGATTTCTGGTGAATTTGGTATGAATGTGAAAATTTAAACGTTCCAGTAAATAAGGGCAATCTATAGAGTATTATTTAATAGTTTTAATAAAAATGAATAATGAAGGATACTTCTCCTTGTATTTAGCGATTGTATATTAAAATATGATAATATTCCATTATAATCTGAATGTCGTGGACGTTCGACTTTAAATTTAAATGCTAAAAAACGAAGAAAACGATTCTGAACAGCTTCGAGATTATGAATTACCCCTATGTTATTTGAAGACCAAATAAGGGATGCATAGTTTATTCTAATTGAGATCTGACAAACGCAAAATGAATACTTTTAAAGGCATTTCAACTATTAAAATGTGTACAAGTTCATGTAATGAAACCAAGATTATGATCAAATATAGGATGAGAAGATATGGGTTATCATAGTAAATATGTTAGATAACAAATATATGTGTACAAGCACTTTATACATTACAGTATTACACACTAAAATACAAAGTACAACTGTAAAAAGGTACCGAAATACTCATTCTTGGTAATTCGGTACATTTTTCACTAAACTTTTTTACCGGGACTTTTTTCCGACGTACCTATACGTGTCACGTGTGTAACGACTAACGGATTTCACTTTTCTAATTGTCAAACACAACTGATATTTAAGATTGTAAGCTCAGCGATGAATGAATTGATTTTAAAATTATGTTTTTATTTGTGTGTCTGGAGACACTTTCTATAATAGATAAAATGTTTCGATTTTCAACTTGAGTATTTTTGCTGGTGGGAAAGTGAACGTTAATAATTACCTACTTTAGGGAATCACAAGTAAAAAATGCATAAAACCTAATTTTCAGAATAGGTAACTGAAAAATCAAAACAAAACTAGCAAAAACGGGAATAATTTTAACGTAAAATAGTTTTCGAAAAAATCGTATTTTCCTGCTAAAAAAACTTATATTTTCATTCCAAATTCTGACTAGTGACTAGTTAATCCATCTAATTAAGTGATATTGATTATGAAAATAATTTTGGATATTCACTTATGTATCAAAATTGTACTTTATTTATGTAGAAACGTCATATACATTTGTATACATTACAAAACTAACGATCTGTTCTTTAGAAACTTCAGATAAATAGGTAAATGAAAAAAGCTATTCATAGGATCTCATATGAAAGCACATTAAGAAGTTCAAATCAATATAAAAATTCAAAAAATGTTTGATTTTAATACCTAAGCCTTGGAAATGTAATACAAGATTACTCATAAGTTGATCTAACTGAAATTGAAATAAAAGGTTAGATATCGTAAAGCCACATGCACATCATTGTCATATATTATTAGTGAGAATTGTCTGCATATACAAGAGACAATTATCCCTAAAAATCGACTTGCAGAAATTGACCTAGATTCCCTCACTTCCCCCACGACACATAACACACTTCCACGTAATGCCTATGTGTTATGTGCCCATTAATTAGTTACTTACGATAATTTAAAGCGGTATAATTATTTTGGTTGTTGCAATATTGCATTACACCAAGTGGTAATTATAAACTATAAGTAACTATAATCAATTTTATTTGATGACTTTTACACCGGCGAAATATTTTCCTTTAAGTGTTAAGTACCTACCTACTAACAATTGAATCCCTGTTGAAAGGTCATTTTTAATGTGGTTTTAAGTACACAATTTCAAGAGAAACTTGTTATTACATTTTCAAGTTTTCTGACCGACTGAACATTTATTTATCCACAGTAATTTAAAAAAAACTAATACAATTTTGCAACATTTCTTAAGATTATAAAATATCAAGGGAGATTAATATTTCAGAGATAAAAGAGGCGTACATAATGAATAAAATCCATAATAGTATAGTTACATAACTTAAATTATTTTGGTTTATGCTGTGAATATATCTCTAAATAAATTCTAATATAATTTACTTTCAATAACTTACTAACATTTCCAACGAATTTGCCATTCCCTTTAATAGGCAGTATTAATATTTTTCCATTGACTTCGTATCTGGATTCGATTCTGAACAAAGGCAAATTTAAGTCGATCTCCAATGATTGGTTTTTGAAACTAGCTCTGTAGAAAAATATATTTGTCACAATATATTTTTTTAACATGAAATGTTAAGAAATTTATAATTCCATACCTATAGGTATATTTGTCTTCAAAATATGAAGTACTTATTGTAATTAACACTATATAGTATATACAGAATACACTTTATATCAATTTGAGCTTGAGTAAGAAAATAAAGATTAGTATGTGCAGCTAAAGTTCTTAAGTTTTGCTACTTTGTAGGTACATACTACATACTAAATTTTAAACCTGTACCACACGATTACACTTCAGTAGGTACTTTAGTCTCTTGGCCTGTCCTATCTAGCTGACAGAAGGGTTAAAGCTAATGTAAAATGTTAAAAAAGCTACTACCTATAAATGGTTATATTTTTCATTAAATAATTGTCTTTACTTCAAAATTCTATAATTTTTCTTTCGGCTAACTATATGCTCTTCTGATCCCTATATGCACCACCAACTGTGCCATGAACCAACTAATTGTTAAATTAATGTGAATTGCTAACAAGAACACATAATATTAGATGAAATCATGAATTATATTATAATCAAGCCAATTTGGGCCTCCACACGAACCTGTTCAGTGGGACCCATTATCTTTTAGAAGAAATAAACAATATAATATAATAATTATTATCAATGTATTATTCTTATTCTATCTTAATTTTGTAATTAATATATTACCTAAAGGTTATAGCATCAATTTTATTATTTATATAAATGTACAAACTACAAACAAGTTAATTTAATGTATTACGTATTATAACTTTTGGCTTCAGCCTGTAATTTGGAAAATTAAATAGTTAAATGTTAATATAACGTTTTGTTCAAGTCACATAAATACAGTCTACAGACTGCAGTGTAGGTAGTCTACATGTCTTATACTTACACAATTATATGGCATATCTTAGAACTTATAGTATCTATTATAAATTATAATGTACCCTGGATGTTCTAATGTTTTTATTTAATACCTAACTACACCATTGTATTAATAATTCACATAATCACTCGTAGTCAAACGGTGGTCATACCATAAATTATTTTTATAATGATCAATAAGTGCATGTTAAAAATCAGCCACATCCCTCCTCCATGACAAAATCGTTTGACCACTATTGCATAGTGATGCCATTAATATATAATATAATAAAATGATGGCGTACCTATGGATTATGAATTCTAAAACATTTAAGTTATAGTAAACGAGAAATTATTTCAAATTATTTTATTAGAGGTATTAAATATATAATCTCCCTGAGGCCTGAAGTGAAGATATTATAGCGTACGTATATATGTATATAATGTTAATTTTTTTTAACTGAATATATAGACATATAGTGATGCGTACCATAGTACCATACGTCCACAAGTTAATAAATCTATAAAGGTATTTAAAAATTTAAACTATTACATTTATCATTAAAATACTTACTTGATTGTCTGCATTTGAAAATTTTTTGCTCCATAACCTTTCAAATCTGTAAACAATGCAACGAAATTAACTGAACCGGCTGAATCTTGTTTCAAAGTCACTGATGGTACCGTCACTGGGTCTAAAGGTAGTATGTGCATTTCAGGTATTCCTTTACTGATATAGGGTCGAATGTCTTCCAATAAATTCATTAAACACTCATTAATATTAGGGTCATCTCGCTTGCATGGTTTGATGTATGAAGCTGAAAAAGAAATTTGAACTTGATTTTTAATTCCAAAATCAGTAGTTACCAATAACTATTAAATTTTAAATATACATACGCAATGATCGACCACTAATTTCACTAATCGCGGTTATGCACAAAACAAATCCTATTAATTTAACTGTCATATTGAACTTACATAAATAGCTAGATAAAATCTAATCTCTTTCTATCAATGACTTATTAATTTGTGGAGAGTTCGCCTTACAGTAACCGGGTATATATATAATCAGGCACTGGAAATAACCTTGTGTCAGGTCATAAATTTGGTATATTCCTCTTGAGTATTGTTAGGTTAATGAGTGAACCCAATATAAAATTCACAGTGCGACAAGAATTTACAAGATATAGGTAACAATTGTAATTTATATAATACAAATACCTACGGCCATCGTCAAGGTTAAGCCAAAATCGTAAGTGAATAAACACATTATGAGTGACTAAAAGGTACTTATAGGTCATTATCTATTCAACACCCTAGGGGTTATTATAAAAATACGATAGCTAAAATCAAATGTCTGAAAAAATACAAAATTAACTATTTTTGACAATATATTAAACCATATTATTAGGGCGTGAAAATATTTCATATTTTATTTTACAGATTTGTTCTGATATTTATCTGTGAGAACAATTTCTAACATTTTCTTCAAAATCGGTCAAGTAGTTATTGAATAAGTTATACTATATTATATATGCTACAAAAACGTATACATTAATTTTAGTATAAACGTCTCTTTTATTTCTGAAGCCGATGTAAAGTCTGTGTATAAAAAAAGTGAGAGAGTGTGTGGGCCCACCATTACACTCTGGGGAAGTAAAACTTCTTTCATAAGTAACTGGGCCGGTCTGCAAATTATAAGGAATTAAGGAGAGAGTGAGAAAAATCAATAAATCAATAAATCAATAAAAAGGGGGTAAGTGGATGTCGCTTTGCTGTACAGTAGGTTACAAGTGGGCCATTGTATAATAGATTCTATTAAACTTTAATTCAATGATATAATATCATTGTATAAGAAAAACGTTTCTGAGCGGAGACGGTTTGTCAGTCTGGATATTTTATATTTGTATTAGTTATTATATCATGTAAGTTAAATTAATATTATAATATTATTATTTTTTATTCGTTTCTATGGTAATAAACAAAGCGTTAGAAATTAAAATCCAATTTTTAGCGGTTTTTAGTAATTTTTCGGTGGTTTTTACAGTGGCATTAAATAACTATTTATAAAATCGAAAAATGACCTCTCTAAAGTACTATCTTGATCAAATTTGCTAAAAGATAAGGTACTATATGTTGAAATCGAAGAACTCCTTCTTTTGTATACAGGATATAAAAATTACAAACCAACGAAAAATGATCAGCTCCATCAATATTATGTATTTTTAATACATAAAGTTTCCATCATGTTATAATTGAATAAGTCAAATTAGTAGATAGTTACTACTTACTACATTTTCCAAACTAATAGCTGAAAAAAAGTAAAAAAAGCCATTTGTAAAGATTTTATAACTTAAATCATTATTATTATTAGGGCCAGGGTTTTTTTCTTTTATTCCAAATACATTGCATGTTGTCCGAATTGAATAAAACAAATTTTATTTTGGATATTTCAAGCAAAATTTATATATGTTATTGTATATTTAGACTTTAGAGTATGGTTATTATAATAATAAGGGGTTATAAAAATATAAAAACATAAATATAATTTTTTCGGGAGAATAGAAATACCTACATAATATATATTATACTGGCCGATGATGATAAACGGTAAGGTCGATTTTTGCGGAAAAGTGGAACACCCAATAATGACAATTTGTTGAAGAATTTCCTAGTGAAGTTTTGAAAACTGATTGAGAGATACTTATTTGTATTATTTGGGATCAATTTTTCTTTAGCAACTTAATAACTAAATTGTTTATTTATTTGTTTTTATTTGTAAGCACTAATATTATTGTGTTGTTCATTTAGAAATTGTTATATTGAAAATTTGAAAATATGAAGTCGATTAAGAAAATTATAAATTATTTATACCTTACATTTAAAATAAATCTGTTGTCTGGATGTCTGATGACTATACAGTGATCAATTTTGAATAATATTAACGGTTTAGTGATACATAGTAGATAATACAACATTTTGGTATGAATAATCTAGGCACTATTATATTGTAGAAGAAATCTCGTGAAAAATTATAAAAACTTAAATACTTCCTTTAAAATCATACTATTGTATCATGTGTAATGTGGAAAACTAATAAGTAATAACAATCAACATAACTAAAACGGATGACGATATAATGTCTCGTGGTATCTGTAGAAATTCTTCACGGAATATACACTTGAACGTGAATAGTGAATACGTCATACAAGTTTTGCAACACACATGAGAAAATATGAGATATCGTTATTTCAAACATTAGTTATTAGAAATCATACGCTAAACACCTCATTACATTTTGAGAGCCCGAGGGCAAACTTGTAGGTATTAGGTACCTAGGTATATATAGGTATATAATTGCTCAGTAGGCCTACTGTATTTTTCTTCAATTTTTCACACTAAAAATTATTTAACATTTTTTGTTAGACATTTATCATTTATTATTGTATTATACAATCTGTATTTTGATTTTTGAATACAATAAAATATGTAATATTATAGTGATGTGTGATAGGAAGAAGCCGTCTTGATCGATTGAATTTCGGTCAGTGAGAAGTTGAAGTAATATATTTTACATAAACCATAATAGGTATAACATTATTATTGCACTATTGCAGTGTACAGAAATATTCCATTATATTAGTTTAAATTCTGAACAAATACAAGTTTAATACATTGGTACCTAACAACGTTTTAATGACATTACATTTAAGGAACCCGGTGCCGATTTTTCAAATTGTCCACAATTCTATAAAGTTTGAAAATTGTATTTTATATTTGAGTTGTCACATTAATTATAATGCTTTTCCACTAATCTATAGCCCGATACTTATTTAAGAGTGAGGGGGTAATCAGTGTGGATCCAGGGGGAGGGCAAAGGAAGAATTCCCCCCCACCAATCGTCGTAGTTTCCCTTTGTTTTATATTGTCTTTAGCCAATTTTGTAACAAATGTATGTACTTTTTGTACTTTTGCCCCCTCCATCCCCCCCAACAAAAAATTAAGTCCTGGATCCACCACTGGGGGGTAATATCGGAAAAAATTGCTTCAAGTAGGAAAAAAATGCAGGCCTTGTATAGAGGAAAACAGAGTCCAATGCAGCCTGTAGAATATTACTTTCTATGAGTTAAATTGGTTATTGATTATACAGAAAAGGATCATTATTCCCGTTTAGCGTATTTTTGGAGTAAAAATTACATTTTCACCACATAAATGTTTCTCTTCGAAATTGTCATAAATTATTATCCATCACACCTATATAGGTAAATCATAGGTACTCGTGCAGGGCTGGCTAGGGTAGTGGATCCTTGATGAAAATTGGGGCTGCTTGAATACATTTGGACCAATAACTTTAAAATATTTTATTAATAGCCCAAAATTGATGAACCCAATTCATTTTTATTCCACCCCTGTACTCGTGTAGTTTACCTTCTACCTCTACTACGTTGGCGTAGTATGCTACCTATCGTAAAAAGCTACTTACATACCAAAAAAGTTTACTTGTGTTTACCATTTTAAATACTTACCTTCTGATTAATAACAATTTAAATAACTATAATTCTCTTAATGGATTGCTGATGATCATGATAATTGCCAATTACCTATTTTAATACTTTATATTATATTGCTATGCTGTATGTTTACGTCATCCCAGAAAACTTCTAATACATTGTCGCTTTGTGTGTTAATGGACAGCCACCATTCGTTTTTTAGTTGGCGGTCTAACAAATCTGTTGCTTAACACAGCAAGGTGGAAGGACACAACACAGACTAAAATAATTTAACATCTAAAAGTAAGTTATTGTAGGTCTTTGTGGAAATTTACTGGTAATTTATCAGATATTTAGCAGTTTAAATGTATAAATGTATAATAGCTATATTATAGTATTGTAGTACGACCGTTATAATAATATGTTGTTTATCTTAATAACTCAAGTCCCAGATATTTTCCTGTAATAAAATTAAATAAAAATATAACATATGTTGTAATAGTAGGTATGTGTATTTATGTATTGATTTCTCTCTACAAAAATTCTACATAAAGAAATTTTTTTCAGTGCTTAATATAGTTATTGTCATGGTGACAAAAAAATAAAAATAACAATAATTTAAAACCTAACAGCATGTCTTCAAGAGTATTGAAATATAAAAAACATTGGCAAATTCAATTAAACGATTATACCTACATGGTAGATTATAGGTATTATATTTGTTTAAAAAATGTATGTATAACTTGTAAAAAGCATAAGTATTATAATTTAAGTAGGTAATTCTAAAGTAACTTACAAAAATACGGATGACTGGAACATTTAAAAAGTAAACAATCAATATTGTGTCTATTTCTTAACACACTTACCCACTACAGTCTACAGCCTTGGTATTTTAATGTATTTTAGGTAATTAAAATAAGCATTACTCTCATACATATTGTTTGAATGATTAAAAATGTAAATTGTCATACTTGTTATATAATCAGCGTGAACGGTAATTGTCGAAATAACGAGATATAATAATTTTATGTTAGCATCTCATTAGTAATAATAATAATAAAAATTAAAAACATACACTTTTAGGTTTCTACTTGACTACTTCCATATCCACAATAATATGAAATCGTTTTTGAATTACAATAAAATATCAAAAATCGATTAATTTAGTGGTGAATAGAACATCCTATGTTCTAATATCGTAGGTACACATTTTAAATTCAAACGCTCATTCAAAATTATTATGGATTTACGCTCAACTTTAATTTTAATTACATTATTACCAACTCATGTGGAACTATTTGTATTACCTCACAACTTTTTTTGATCGACCAAATAATTGTTTATTAAAAATAAATTTTAAAAAAATTTCAAGATAAAAAATGTCTAATGGCAAAATATTTCGAAAATGATTTATTTATTTAAATCGAGCTGTGTGGGGTAGGTTTAATTAATATTATTTATTAATTAAACCAATGGA